CGGACAGCTTCCTCACGGCGCCTTCTCTTTTTTTCCTCGCGATGCCAGCTCCAAGTTTCAAAGTCGGCTGCGCGCCATTCGCCGCCTTGCATCAGATAGCCGTGCGACTGCTCCTCCTCCTGTCGCTCTTCCTCTTCCAAGGTATACAGATCCTGGAGGAGTTGTCTGAAGGAATCGTTGCCATCGTTTTTCTCCGTTCTGTACTTGGCTCCCGCGGATCCAGCGCGGAGGGCAAACCAGGCCCGATACGACGCGCGCTGCAAGACCTGTCGGCATTGGTCTTCATAACATGCCAGTTGATGGCGGAATTTTTGTTTCTGATACTCTTCTTGAATGAAGATGACGTCAATAAAGTCCGCAGCGAACTGGGCGAACATAGTGACAATGACCATCTCCATGCCGGGATCATCGCTCACTTGAAGGCTTGTGCAGAGAGGATTTGAGCTCAAAATTCCCTCGCCAGCTCTTCCGGTCCGCTCATGGAATGTTGTCTCCAGGAGCTTAAACAGCCTGGAGATGGAAATGGTGTACACAGTTGTGCCTTCGCTCCACACAGACCAAATATCACGAATATCGTGGGGCATCCAATTGAAATGGCGGGCAAACACGCTTCTATATTTCCAGTCATAGCCAAGGACATAGTTACGTTCGCCGAAGTCTGCACCTTTTTCCGCAATGGGCAGAATGGCGAAGAGCAGGCGGGTTCGCTGGCTGTCTTCGTCCATTCTGTAAGTCTCGGGAACGAAAAGATCGCAGTATCGGATGGGTTCACAGTCTGTACCGTCGAAAAGGTACAAGTTTTCGCGCCTGATATGTATGTCTTTTCCCCCTTCGAGACTGTTCAGATAAAGATGATAATCGATTATGCCCCATGGGTGTTTGACGCAGGAGGTCAGTGGCTCTGGTTCAACTACGTCAGTGTCTTCAGCAGCACTTGATGGGACCCATGGCGCGAAGCTAAAGGAACTCTGTGACTCGTCGTATGTTTCGTCTTTGACCTCCAGAGCCATCGCTTCAGCAAGTGCTTTCCTGGTGGCAGAAGTCCCATTGACGAGGTGGATGTCTCTGTCACTTCTTCTCATCTGGAAGCGACGCAAGCTACGAGCCCTGCCGGATTTCTTGAAACGCTTCACCTTGGAAGGCATGAGAGGCATTGTAAGGGAGGCAGACCTCCGTCTCTTGGAGTCGCTCGCGTTGAGAAGTGTTGAAGTCAGGCCTCGACAAGGGTGAGCTGAGGGAGATGAGGTGAGAGCACCAAGGATACTTAGAGAGACAGTTTCGTTAAACTGATGAAGCTCTGCAGATATCGCGGAAAGCTGATGAGGGTGGTGTTGAGAGAAAGAAGTGTTTGAACGGAGGAGATATGAAGTGAAGAGGCTGGGCATACAGTGAAAGCAGAAGAGATAGGACGCGCTAGCGTGGCAAAAACTAGCAGGGTAACACCAGAAAGCAATGTTTTGTTCTTGTCTAAACGTCCAAAGTGGGCTCTACGTGAGTCTTTATGATTACGTCTTTCGGTCACTTCAGAAGACCAGGACATACAGGGCTGGCTGACCACCAAGGTCTCTGATATTAGACCAGAAGGGGTTACTCACCCTCAGGTTTCATGCGCATGAAGATTAATCTACAAAAATAGCTTTCAATGATGCGATCCCGCGTAGCCTGATCGGGGTGCGTGAGGTGAGGCGTCGTAGATCTGGACTGTGAATGAAGCCTTCACTGCACTACCGGTTCCAGAAGTCTGTTTGTGCCTTAGGCCAGGGCCCAGGCAAGAATCAGTAGCAGACAAACAAAGATCCCTTCAGACACTTTCTAGAATGTCTAGTTTGCCTTGAAACGGCTTTCATCCTACAAGGCGTTGAAGCCTCGATCAGTAGGTTGGAATATCAAACAGTCTTGTCTTTGTCTCTGGCGCTTGCTATCGTCCTTTGATACGACCCAAGGCCAAGGGTTAATTGTCAAGGTGGTGTTTCGAAAAGAGAAAGACCGTCTAGCTGGTCAAGCCAGTTGATGTTTTGTAGAGGCTCCCTTCGTGCTGGAGATATCACCCCTACGGAGCAGAGCTGCAGGCTTCGAGACAAGTTTCTCAATCTGGATTCCTTTATAAGTTTCAGAAGGCAATGAAGCGATATGGCTGTAGAAGTCTCAGAGTAAGACCATGTTTAAATCGAAAAAAAGAGAATTAAGTCTACGATCACAACGAAGAGAGCTATTCCTTCTCATGCAAAAAGCTGGGTATTCTTCTTGAAACGAAACATAACAACCTATACTAGGATCTTGACAACATAAAACTAACACATACTAAGACAGGTGAGAAGAGATCTGTTACATGAGATATGCATGGAGTACATGAGTTTATCACCGTGGTCTATTCAGACATAACTCGTTCAAAAAAGGTCCTGTTCTTCCGACGTTTCTTCTCTTGTTCGTCTTTCCACGCCAAGGCCCATACAGCGCCGATCAGATATCCACCGAGATGGGCAAAGTGATCGAGCTTCACAACACGGAAGGGCGATACAAGGTTGAAAATTTCAAAGGCGACGAAGCCAGTCAGGAGGACCCATCCTTTGGCGGATATAACCTCTTGCCATTCACGGGGAAGGAAGAAGATGGTGAATCTCTCCCTGTTGTGTACGTAATCAGTCAGTCACTCTAAAGCACTCTCCAATTTCTGAAAGAATAAAGGTGCAAGAAGCTAATACGTACTGGCTGTGAAGCAGACACCATGCCGCTACGATGCCGGAAATCGCACCACTGGCTCCCAGAGACGTGATCATCAATTGACCCATTAGGACGTGGCCTGTCAGAGATACCATGGAGCCAAAAGCGCCTGCAGCCATATAAAGACCCAGGAAATTGCCTCGTCCTATATCATCGTGGACTGGGCAAAGTCAGTATCAAAAGGCTGTGCGAGAGGTTTCACCAGCACTCACGTTTCGTTCCAATAAACCACACCATGAGCATGTTCAACGCCAGATGCCTGAATTGCTGATGACTGAAGACGTTTCCGACAATACTCAAGGGATGGGGCTTGAGAGCAACACTGATAAAGTAGCGATTGAGGATCCGCCACGCCGGTGGAAACTTCCAAAGAAGGAAGATGGCTAGATTAGCACCCATGATGGCGACCGCAGTGGCCGCTGCTGGGGGCATATCCGGCCACATGCGGTCTGCTCTCGCTGGGGCTTCATAATTTGCGGCAAAGGCATAGCTGAGGCCAAGGACGAGAAGAGTGAGCGCGAGACTTGGCAGGATGCGACGAGCCTGTTTGACAGCAATGAGTCTGAGTCCCTCTTGGCTCTAGCAAAAATACTCACCGTGCTCATATTTTCTGCCGCTCCCATATTCCACTCCGTCGCTTGCAAGTGGTGCTTCTGGATCCAGGCGAGTAAAGGGCGCTCTGCAGGATCCGCGCGTTCTCGTACTAGACACCAGGCACACTCAGTACTCCCCTCAATGGTAGGCGTCCGCCACGCTGCAGCTGGATCTACTCACCCTCTAGTGCTGAAGAGTCGTCGAACTTTTGCAGAGCTGTATTCTGCTGGACCTGGCGCAACAGTTGTTCTCGCTCCTTATTCTCATTCTCCAGCCATTCCTTGCGCTTCCTCTCTTGTTCCGCTAGAAGGCGCGCCTCGTTCCGCTCCCGGATTTCCTTCAGGACACTCTTGCCGTAGGGGTCGTTCGAGTCACCGCGTTCAGCACCGAAAGTTCCGGATTGAGGCTTGTACAGTCCCAATTCTTCGGCCCGCTGAATGAGCTTCTGCTGCTCTTCGAGTTCTTCTCTTTCGATACGAGCGAGAATGGCAGCATCTTCATCTAGCGGATAGTTCTCGCGCAGCCACTCCAAGGCAGCATCACGACTGGACGGGGGGACGGAGCGAGTTATGTCTTTGGGCAGGTCGAGGTCGAGAGTACCGGCAACCCGTCTGCCGTGCAGTACGGCAAGGACACGATTGCCCATCGCCGGAGATATTTTTGCTCGGGGTCCGAAGATTTTGTTGATCTCAGCCGGGGAGAAGGGCTCGGAGCGAGGCGGGACGCCATGTTCAATGGGAGGCGCAGACTGCGAGAGTAAAGGAACGGAAGTACTGAAGGACCTGATGGGAGTCGGTGGATGGGTCTGAGCAAATCGATTGGTGGTCAGGAATGACAACGAATGAGGTCTGCAGTCCAATGTACAAAGGGGTCGTCTGAATGTGCTATATGAACGACATGTGAACGAAGTGCGGAGATCGCAAAGCATGGAGCGAAACATTGCTGATCTGAACGGAAGCAAGCCCGAGGGCGCAAGCCCCGAGCATGGAGTCCGCCATGCTATACAGAGCGCATTGCTCATATCCTGCGATTTGGACTCGAGGTCCTGCTCCAAGGATACGCTAAAGGACGATGTTGATGATGATAACGAAATGGGAGTGTTGGAGAAGTCCCATGTGGATGAGATATACAAAGCGGACCTCCGAGCGGCATATCAATTTATCCGAACAGACGATGGTTCCTGAGTCGAACTATACATATACGATAGAGCAGGCGTTTTGAGCGTAAGAGTAGGTTTGGGAACCAGTGTACATTTTCATTCCATCACTAGTGACACTTGAGTACATGAGCTTTCAAGCCGGTGGACAGGTAGGCGCTGCGAAAACTACGTGACCGATGCCTGTAAATATCCTACGGTTCCTACCACTAATTCGCCTACATAAATTATCAGCATGGCATTTCTCCAGAAATGCTGCAACAAAGGGCTGCAATTTAGATACATCTCAACATAGCCTGGATTAGGGACCTTAGCGAACAGCAACTTCGAAGCAAAATGTTCCTCATGACAAACATACCAAGACGAAATCTATACATGTCACGTGCAGATAACGATAAGATTAAGCAGTTCTTCTGGGCGATGATAGATCCCAAACAAGATAGCTTAATGTAAGCCACTTTTAGACAAAGAAAACCCTGGTGTCTGTCATCGCTCGACCTCAATAAGATCTGTCCCACAGCTAGCCGAAATGCCAGAAGAATCCCGGCCCATCACCCTTGAAGCCTTTGCCGAAGCCATCAAGGAACTGCCCCTCTCCGCAGTGTACGCCAAGGTCTCGGAAATCAGGAACTCCATCGCACACCTGCGCCGCTCAAATAGCGAGCTCAGAGCGTTTATAGACGAGTCTTGTGAGAGTGAAAGCGATAAACGAGAGCTAGAAGGGTACATTGCAGAAAACGAAGGCGTCATCGCCAATATGAATGAGCGAATTGGACTCTTGAAGACCGAGATTGAGCATCGAGGCGAATTATGGATAGAAGAGAAAGTCGTCGCGGAAACTAAAATGGATGGAGACGAAGCATCCGCATCTTTATCATCACACCCTGTCAACGGTACTGTGGAGGATGAGCGGCCTAGAGCACATCTAGACGCGACGAGAAGTCCAGAAGATACACAGGCCAACGAGGAAGAAGGTGTGTATCTATGAGACACCACTACTGCTGKTTGGCGTTTATACAGCAGATGATCACTTTGGAGAGATTTATTCTTCTTTGCCCTGTCTGAAGCGACATGGCACCTGTGGAAGACGCTCCACCCGACTACATCATAGTTCTGGTCTGGATGGGGAATCTCAGTCGCTAGGCGCTGAGTTGCTTTTACCAACTCCTAGAGAGAGAGAGAGACGCACACTACCTAGAAGGTCACCTAGTGGATCCCAGCTGTGTTGTTGCTCTATCGCCACATAGACTGGCTCCGATTGCACTCGCCCTTGCGTCGTGTCGCTCTTTACATGGCTTCTTGCGCAATGTCACCATTTGCCAGACTGAACGACAGGCATCCCATGTTGAACCTCGAAATTGAGTACATCAGCCAAACTACAATTGCATATCTTGATCGATTTATTGTCTCTTCTGAATTCCCTCAACTTAATGTTAAAATCTATGCACATCACAATAATCCCCAGAAGCAAATATCACAAGACAATGCTACCCAGCAGTAAAGTATTGCGACGGAAGTATGCAGAGGAGAGCATGAGAGATGCGAAGTGATGTGGCATTCCAGCCGAACAGTCATTGATGACAGCAGATGCCCAGGTACCCAAACAGACAAAAACAGAGTCCGAAGAATCTACACGGACGGGAAAATGCTCAAAGCAAAGACACGGTTAAAGCACCCGCTAGTAAGGGTACCCAGAATAGGAAACGCGAATCATCCAAGATCTTAATGCATAACCGTATGATGAAATGCCAGTTCCAACATAGGTCAGCGGACAATCGCTCAATGGTCGCTCAAAGTCAGAAAAGACATCCTCTAGCTCAGCTAGAGCTGGGCTGACCCCAGTGACCTCCCGCAAGCGCCTCCTGGGGGATACGCTGTTGTTTGATGAACAAGTCAATCAGGGGCTGCATAGGCTCCATCTCCTTGTCGGAAACCAGCTTGTAGTATTTGGCGACGGTGACGAAATGGACGAAGCACATGTTCAAGATGTCATGTTTGTTGATGTGCCAAAATGGATTCAACCAGTGTGCGTGATATAGATGGGCATAGCAACGGAACATCTGTTTCATGATGCCTTGACAGTCCTTGTAGAAAGTCTGAGGAAAGCCGCTGGACTTGCCAATCCACTCCTCGCCGGTAGAATTCGCGTCGGCGCTACCAGGATTGACATTTGTAGCTTCATGCAGTGCAAAGGTGTCTGGGGTGCCGGTGACCTTCTCGGTAGGGAACATGACCGGGTCATGGATCTTGCTGACAATCCACTTTTCAACGCGATTGATGAACTTGGGAGCGGAGATCTTGGCGGCACGCCCGTCTACAAGCCAAGTATAGGTCAACCTATTGGGGAATTCAGTCAGAGGAGGCATGAAGTTTGGGCGTCTCCGTCGGACTTTCATGTCACTTACCGACCTGCAGACATAGTCGGGCATGTGCTTTCATTGCAGATAGGCAAACCAGTGACACCATTGACCTCCTGAATCACCTGAAGCATGCCGTGGAGCAAGCGGTATTGTTCAACAACTATATGGGTTCGGACTATCAGTACCGACGATCTGACCACTCGGGCATGCGCAGGAATCGCTTACTTTGATGAGCCAGCCATTCTCCAAGTTCCACGTTCTTCGGACAAGCACACAGGGTCAAGAAGTTACCCTTTACATTCAAAGGGGCATACTTCTCCTGGAAAAAGTACTTAGGGGCGTCAGGGTCGTAAGGTGCGGGGCTGTCCATGCTCGGCGGAAACGATGGTGAATTGGGTCCAGGAGCCACTTGAACAGATTGAGAGGCCGACTGAGCAGAATTTCCGTTGTTCATCTTCGGAGCGTTGTTATTGTTATTCTTGTTATTACCACCTCTGCCAAACCCTTGGCGTCTATAAGGATATATCCGAGTTAGCGAGTCAATTCACAACTCTGAGACTGTATGAGCGGGGAGAAAGAGGTCAAGTGAGGCGTCCTCAAAAGGGGTAGTACAAGAAGTGCAAAGAAAAAAGCATGAGGAAAAAGATCATGCAGGCTCAAGTGCAGGAAAGTTTTCTTTCTGCACCTGCAGCGCCGAGTCTGATCATTCTGCTGCCATATTCGGAATTCAGGGGACGGTGTGAAGGGGGTTGTGTACAGGAACAAATCCATCCTAAGAGAGCCGCGCAGCACACTTACACACTCTGAAAAAAGGTCGCCATTGTTGTTCACAAGGTCCCAGATAGCCAGCTAGACCAGACACCTAAGTAAAGAAATTGAAGAGAACAGGAAGAGGAACAGTACAAAGAAGAAGGAGAGTAATACTGACTGCCACTCCTAAGATTCTCCAGTTGTTGATCTCCTCCATCGGTCTGGCCTGTGGAGCTATTCCCGCCGCTAAACCTTGTCGGGTTCGGAACGGATTATCTAGAGGTTCCCGAGACAATCCATACTCCATAGCTCAATCTCGATGGCTGTTCCTCCGACGAAAGCTCCGCAATAGGTGCTACTTTGACAGTTCGCCTCGATTGCGTGAGCGGAATCTGGTTCTCTATTCATATTTGCCGATTCGCCTTTCCGGAACAATTAGATCTAATAATCTGACTTTGCACTGCTGATTTCGTCGTTTGCGCGTCGGCCATTGTCGTTAATCTCTGTTACCCCAGCAGGCCGGAGCACATTTAGAAAACACACATCATGTCTTCGTCAGATGAAGATGTGGTACGCCGCCCAGGAAGGACCACCGCTGCTGACCGAGCCGACAGTCCTGTCGGCAGCGAACGCAGCAACACTCCCGCTGCGCGGGATCCGAGTCCCTTCGGATCAGATGCGGGAAACTTGAATGGGGACGACGACGCTGATCTGTTTGGATCCGACGGGTCGGAAGGGGGCTTTGGCAATGACGAAAAGTATGAAAGGCTTTTACAATGCTTTCAGTATTAAGACATGCTGACCGCTCGACAGTCGACAAAGAACACTCGACGACGAGGACCTAGATTCGGGAGATGACATTGATCGCTATGACAGAGCCGGAGATCGCATGGATGAGGATGGCGTGGACGGGGACTACCAGGAAACCGTAAACATTATGGACTTGAGTTTAGGCCGGGCGCCTGAGCCAGTAACTTCAAATGGCGAGGTACGTGGAGCAAGGCCGACGGAGAACATGCTGCCCCTGTTGGCTGACTCTAGACACCCAGGTCTATACAATGCCAGTTCCAAATTTCTTGTCGATAGAGACAGAGGAATTCGACCCGGAAACGTATGTCGCGCCTCCATTCACTACTGCGGCCACTTCCCTGTGCTGGCGTCATGACCCGAACGACGAATCTCTCCTGCAATCAAATGCTAGAATTATCCGGTGGGAGGACGGATCTTTAACACTTCAGCTTGCGTCGGCACCCAAGGAGCAGTACAGAATATCCACCAAGCCACTGGCACCCACAAACAAGGCAGGCGAATACGATACAAAACTGGATTCACATGTCTACCTGGGAGCAGCCGCAGAGACCTCGTCGGTTTTCCGACTGACCTCACATTTGACCCATGGCCTCACTGTTCTTCCTACGACCGTGGAGACTGATGATGCGGTGCAGCGTCTGCAAGAATCTCTGGCTGCGGCTGCGCGAGGTAGCAAGAAGACCGCGGATGGATCGGCGCCAGTTATTGAGGTTAAGGAAGACCCTGAACTGGCCAAGCGGCAGGCCGAAATGGCGGAGCGTGAGAAACTCAAAGCTGCGCGTCGCCGTCAGCAGCTCGCAGAGCGTGAACTCGACCGTGGCCGTCGTGTCGGCTTCTCCCACCGCTCAGGTGGTGCTGGCTTGACCGTAGGTGGTCTGGAAGATGACGACGGCCTCCTCGCTACCCGACCCCGTGCACGCAAGCCTCGCAAACCCAATCGTCGGGGTGAAATTTATACCGATGACGAAGAAGATTACGATCGTCGTGGACGGACGAGGGAAGATGAGTACGACGAAGACGATGGCTTCCTCGTCGGCAGTGACGAAGAGCCTGAGATTGTTGAAGATGATGAGGACGAGGAGATCCTCGAGGATGACGAGATGGATGCAGAAGGCGAAGAGGAAGATAATGTCCCTGTCCAGAGATCCACCAAAGAAAAGCGGCCGTCACCAGAGCGACCTGTTTCGGAAGCAGGAGCATCCGGAACGCCACCGGTGAGGAAGAAGAATCGCTACATCGTTGATGATGACGAGGAGGATGAATAACCTTCCACGCTTGGCCATTTGCACGCCCCCGAATGATCCTCGGCGTCATGGCCACGCTCTCCCAATTAATGACCCTGCATCCTGTAACAACTTCTCGGAGTCAATGAAATTGTATTTAGGAACGAGGAAATTAGAGGCCATGAGGAAGATCAATTGTCCATTGTCGCCCCAGTATACAAAGATCTCCACCGCTCTACGTAGGTTCTTACCCGACTAAAAGGCTCTATCGAAGTCATGTATTGCTCCATTGCAAATACCAGGAGCGCGGGTTAGGCATTGGCAAGAATATATTGATCTATTTGACCCATAAGGCCGCCAATAGAAATGGTATCTGGCACAGAATGTCATCGCGCCCAGGACGAATCCCCCGTAAGCCTTAACTCCCCAGCATAAATTATTGCCTAATCCCATGACACCAATCAAGTAGGTAAACAAATAGATTGCTCATACCGGAACCGCACCATCCGGGTACTCGTACGGTGCAAATTCAAACTTGGCTATAACATCTCTGGCGCTTCGGATTACACGAAAACAAAGCATATCCTCTTCACGATGGTCCTCATGGGAGACAGGTGAACAAGATCTGGGTTCGTTTGGGGATTCCACGGTTCGAGATCGATGCCATCTGTGCTGGCGGGCTTCCATTTCCTCAATGAGAGAAAGTAATGTTGGCGAATCCGAGCACTTCACCTGACCAGCAGGATCTACCGGGCCGCCTGTAATAGCGCTCCTCACAGTTTGTCGAAGCCAATCCTTCCAAGCCTCCGCGGGGTTCGGGGAGTTCTGCGTCACTGAAGCCACATAAGCTGACGGCGCTGCTAACTTGCCGAGTTCTTCAGCGTCAGCTTGCGACACTCGCAGCCAGGCATCGGCAACGACATTCAAGAGGGTTCCAGTAAACATAACATTCTGCATCCCCAAAGCAAAGCTTGTGGGACAGACTTCACAACGGATGACAGCCCGTGCTGTTTTGGCAGCAATAAATAACGAACACAGCGTGTGTTGAGATATTGGAAAGGGAGCAAGGGAAGACAGATGACTGAGGCATAAATACAAGTATGATAAGCAGGTACACTGAGAACTGTTACCGCCGTCCGAGCTTGGGGATGATACGCTAGGAGAATCGATCAGCGTCAAGCTCGACGGTACTGTGAACGGACCAGAAGTTGCGGCCGTCACGCTGGAGAAATCAGGCCAAGGGCCGGTAGTCGCAGGGATAGGGTCGAGCGATCTACCAGATTCCAACTGCCATAGGTGATTGTGGCTATCGTCAGTAGATAATAGATTAGGAAAGGCCTGTGGCATTCGCATTGGTGTGGTGTACACTGGAGGACAAAGTCGCAGGGCTTCTGATGCTGCTGTAGCTTCGGCCCCGGCTTCCTCAGTCAAGATCCCACCATCATCTATATCAGTCCACATCCCATTGTCTGCGATGTCATATACAGATGCATCATTGTCCTCACGGGGTCGCTTTTTCGGAGGGCGTCCCATCGGCTTCTGTAATGAATAGTGGCAAGAAAGGGACTGTTTAAGGCAACGACTACATCCCGTAGCTTCACCAGAGCATTTCAACTTCCGTTTCCCTATTGAAGCTCGTCAGGCTCGGTGTTCAGTTGAGAATGACCCTGCATCGAGGACTACCTACTGCACTCGTCACAAGCCGCATGTCTTTTCAAAGGCGTTACTGAGGCGGTGTCATGATTACTGTTTGGAGGGAGAGGAAAACTATCGTACTGCATGCTGAATGGCGTGGACGGAGATTTTACAACACAGTATTTGAGGAGCTCAAAATCGGTCGTCGGCAATGACCATAGTGCTGGAGACGTACAGAGATAAATAACAAAAATAATAATGATGACGGCGGGGGATTGGTGATAAGATTGAGGCTACTACGGCGGCATATCACGTGGGCGGTCAGCAATCTCATTTTCGGGGAAAAGCAAAAAAACAGAGAGAAAAAAAGTTGCTTGAAAATTGCAGCTTATCGTTCAAAGCTTTCTAGTTGGAAGAACGCAGCCGCTTTCCCCCAATATGAATGCTTCAAAGGCTTCCAAGAAGCGCAAGGCAGTTACCCGTGATGTGGAGGAGGAGGCAGGCGTATTTTCTGGAGACGAATTGAACACAGACAACCTTGACGGAGCGCTTTCGGATAACGCCAACGATCTGTCGAGTGACGAGGATGAGAGCGATTCAGAGGTCGAGTTGATCGATGATTTTAGTGATGAAGAAAATGAGGAAGAAGAAGACGAACTCGACAGTGACGAGATTCCCTCGGATGGAGAGGATTCAGCCAAGAAAAAGTCAAACACCACGCCTGGCGAACTTGGCGCAGCGGTGGATGATGGTGAGAGCTCGAGCGAGGAAGAACAGATGAACTATCGCATTGAGAAGGACGCCAATGGGAATGAACGCTTCGTCTATGACGAGATCAATCCGGACGATAATTCTGAATATTCTGATATTGACGAGAATGCAAACACCATCGGCAACATTCCTCTTTCATTTTACGACCAGTATCCTCATATCGGTTACGACATCAACGGGAAGAAGATTCTGCGCCCCGCGAAAGGTGAAGCTTTAGATGCACTCCTCGATAGCATTGAAATACCCAAGGGTTGGACAGGTCTTACTGATCCTTCCACTGGTAAACCTCTGGAGCTGAGCCAGGATGAGCTGGAGCTGCTGCGCAAAGTCCAAATGAACGAAATTCCCGAAGATGGTTACAACCCATATGAGCCCACAGTTGAGTGGTTTACCAGTCAGCAGGAAATCATGCCATTGAGTGCTGCGCCAGAACCCAAACGGCGTTTTGTGCCCTCGAAACACGAAGCTAAGCGGGTTATGAAGATTGTGAAGGCAATCAGAGAAGGCCGGATTCTCCCATTCAGGCCTCCCACGGAAGAGGATCAGGAGGATGATACGGTCATTAAGTATGATCTCTGGGCCGATGAAGCGGAGCGGAAGGATCATCCTATGCATATCCCTGCGCCTAAACTTCCACCTCCAGGCTACGAGGAAAGTTACCACCCGCCTCCAGAGTATTTGCCTAGTCAGAAGGAACGAAAGGCATGGGAGGAAGCTGACCCTGAAGACCGGGACCGCGAGTTTCTCCCTAACGATTTCGCTTCTTTGCGCAGAGTTCCTGGCTATGAAAACTTTGTCAAGGAGAAGTTCGAGCGGTGCCTGGATCTTTACCTGGCCCCCAGAGTTCGTAGGAGCAAGTTGAACATCGACCCTGAAAGCCTTTTGCCCAAGCTTCCGAGCCCTGAAGAGTTGAAGCCGTTCCCGACTGCTTGTGCTACCGTGTTCAGAGGGCATAAGGGTCGAGTACGTACTCTGGGTGTTGATCCTTCCGGGCTGTGGCTGGCTACTGGTGGCGACGACGGAACTGTTCGTGTTTGGGAACTTCTTACGGGCCGCCAATTGTGGAGCGTGAAATTGAGCGAGGAAGATCCTGTTAATGTTGTTCGTTGGAGACCGGGCAAGGATGCTCTTATCCTCGCTGCGGCGGCTGGCGACGACATTTTCCTTGCTGTTCCTCCAATTGTCGACCCAGTAATTGAAAAAGCTAGCCTAGACATTCTGGATGCGGGCTGGGGATATGCTGCATCTGTCCCTCCTCCCACTGGCGCTGAAGCAAACAAGAAGAACAACCCTCCCAAGTGGATACGTCCTTCGTCGTCACTTGCTGATTTGGGAGTCTGTGCTGTCATCCCTCTTCGCTACGTTGCCAAGTCCCTTTCGTGGCATCGACGGGGTGACTATTTTGTCACGGTTTGCCCCGGCTCATCAACCCCAGCTTCTGTGGCCATTGCGATCCACACTCTTTCCAAGCATCTGACTCAGTACCCCTTCCGCCGGCGTATCAAGGGTGGTGGATCTCCTCAGGCTGCTCACTTCCACCCCTCGAAACCGATCCTCTTTGTCGCAAACCAGCGAAGCATTCGCGCATACGATCTTTCACGTCAACTTCTCGTCAAGATTTTACAACCTGGTGCTCGCTGGATTTCTTCCTTCGACATCCACCCGACTTCCTCCACCGCTTCCGGTGGAGACAATCTTATTGTCGGCTCGTATGATCGCCGTCTCCTTTGGCATGATCTCGAACTGTCGCAGCGTCCGTACAAGACGCTGCGGTACCACCGCAAAGCCATTCGTGCTGTCAAGTTCCACCCAGGCGGCCGCTACCCCCTGTTTGCAGATGCCAGTGACGACGGCTCGCTTCAAATTTTCCACGGCAGTGTTACCGGAGATATGCTCAGCAATGCCACCATTGTACCGCTCAAGGTTCTCAAGGGACACAAAGTCACTGGCGAACTCGGTGTGTTGGACGTCGACTGGCATCCTAGAGAACCGTGGTGTGTCAGTGCAGGCGCGGATGGAACTTGCCGCCTCTGGATGTAATTACATGTCGACTTCGAAGCGTACATTATTGGGTCTTCCAACTGTTAATTTACCATGTCATGTCCACATGAGAGGCGTCTTGGCGTGCATCAATTTTTTTTAATAGATATATCCGCTTTATAAAAGTTATTGTCCTTAGAAAAATGTTTTCCTCAAAATTAGGTCCTCATCTGATGATCCAAGCAACCTCTGAATCCCGATTTGGATTTTTGGAGACTTTACGTGGATAATAAACCGTTGGTAGACATTTCCGAGCAAGCGGGGAGATTTTCAGCATCTACATATGCAAAGCTTTTGGTATATGACCACTATCCCGTACGTACACAATGCTTTGGTTGACTTTCTACGCCACTCTAGTTGGATATCTATAACACACCCCCGCTCCACTCCCTCCTGAGCTTCTCATACTTTTTCAGATCGGTAACACTGGGCCGAATGAAAGCCTTAGCGGCAACGAAATCCTCAAAGCTGATCTGATCACGTCTTTTGATCGCCGAGTAACCGGCACGGCGCAGCAAACTTCCCAGATCCGCACCGCTGAATCCTTCGCATTCTTCGGCGAGCCTCCTCATATCTTCGCTGAACTCGATAGGAAGCTTGCGAACAAGAGTCCGCAAAATCTCCACACGCTCCAAGGGATTAGGCAGGCTGACGTAGAGAAGCGTTTCAAGACGACCTGGACGAAGCATTGCAGGGTCGATGATATCGGGTCTGTTTGTGGCGGCAATCACGTAGATCCCTTGACGACTGCTGCCGAGGCCGTCAAGCTCGGTGAGGAGGGTATTGACGACACGCGCGGAAGCTTCGGACAGAGCATCATCTCTGCGGGGGACCAGGGCATCAAGTTCGTCGAAGAAGATAATGCAAGGGACTGACGAGCGGGCACGAACAAAGACCTGCCGTACTGCACGCTCTGACTCACCCACGAACTTGTTGAGCAGCTCAGGTCCCTTTACACTGATGAAGTTGGCGCGTGACTCGTTGGCCACAGCCTTGGCCAGCAACGTCTTACCACAACCCGGGGGGCCCCAGAGCAGGACACCTGTGGGCGCCGTAATACCCACCTTCGCATAGAGCTCGGGAGACTTGATTGGGTCCACGATCGCAGTATTGAGTTCTTCGCGAATCCCTCCTAAAGCACCAATGTCTGCCCATGTAGTGTCTGGTATAGTGGCGAAGCCCTCACGCTTGGAGGACGGCTGAATTTTGGGGAGAGCGGTAAAAAAGTCTGCATTGGAGACAAAGACCGTCTGCGTCTCGTCACCAATGGGAGTCTCCTTCGCATGATTGATAAGCCGTCGCAGCTCTTTGACTTTAGGGCTCAGATCATTGGGGTCTTCTATGTCCATCTCTTCCCCACTATTCGATTTGAGTAGTTCCAAGTATCGTTTTATAGCCGCAGAGCCTGCCGTGGAGACCAAGTCGTTGAGATCAGCGCCCACAAAGCCCGGTGTCCGTTTGGCTAGAGTCTTGAAGTCTAGGTCGTCAGCGAGGCGCATTTTTCGAGTAAGCGCCCTCAGGATCTGCTCTCTGACTGGTTCCGAGGGGACGGTCATGTTGATTTCCTTATCAAATCTACCCCCGCGACGCAGGGCCGCGTCCAAACTATCCGGTCGATTGGTAGCTGCTAAAACAATCACAGGCTTGCCGTCGGTTTTGTCCAGTGCTAAATCGTCCATGCATGTTAAGAGTTGAGCAACAATCCGTTTCTCCATCTCTCTTTGTGCACTTTCCCGTTTCGGGGTGATGGCGTCAATTTCGTCGATGAAAATGAGGCAAGGCGCAAGCCTTCTGGCTTCTTCGAAATGCTCTCGCAGAGCCTTTTCGGACTCTCCCGACATTCCCGACACAATGGATGGAGCAGATATTGGGATGAATGGGACGCCTAGTTCTGCCGCGAAGGCATTGGCGATCATTGTTTTACCGCAACCTGGCGGACCATGCAATAGCACACCACGGGGTGGTTGAACATTTGAAGACACGAAAACTTGTGGACGGGTCATCGGTAGGATGAGGAGATCTCCCAAGCTTTGGATCACGTCGTCCAATCCACCTAGGTCCGAAAGGCTCACATGTGTTGGGGGCGA